AATCTTTCACCTCATATTGGGCGATAAAGGCTATTTTAGACAATAGTCTTCAAATTTTTTTACCTGAATGAAATGAACTGCTGCTGTAATATTTTGTTGTATGCTTTGTCAATCCCTTCGGAACACTCATACTGAATTTCAAGTCTAGCAAATCAATATTAAAGAATTTAACTTTCAAAATCTGACATCTCATATAAGGGAAAAATTGCTATTTTGGACAATTAGTTTCAATTTTTTTGACCTGATTGAAATGAACTGCTGGTCTAATATTCTGTTGTATCCTTTGCCAATTCCTTCTGAACATTCTTACTGAATTTCAAGTTCAGCAAATCAATATTAAAGAATTTAACTTTCAATGTCTGACATCTCATATAAGGGAAAAATTGCTATTTTGGACGATTGGTTTCAAATTTTTTGACCTGATTAAAATGAACTGCTTGTCTAATATTCTGTTGTATCCTTTGCCAATTCTTTCTCAACATTCTTACTGAATTTCAAGTTCAGCAAATCGAAATTAATGAATTTAGCTGTCAATGTCTGACATCTCATATAAGGGAGAAATTGCTAATTTGGACAATTGGCTTCAAATTTTTTGACCTGAATGAAATGAACTGCTGGTCTAATATTCTGTTGTATCCTTTGCCAATCCCTTCTAAACATTCTTACTGAATTTCAAGTCTAGGAAATCAATATTAAAGAATTTAGCTTTTAAAATCTTTCACCTCATATTGGGCAATAAAGGCTATTTTAGACAATACCCAGCGGGCACACAACGTTGTTTCGACGTCGAATTTTGGTTGAATTAAGGTCGCGACGTCGATCAACCAAAAATCAACGTTGTTTCGACGTTGTTTTCAAGACGTTGAATCAACGTCGCTGATCAACGTTGTTTCTAGGTTGAACGAATGTTGATACCTGACGACAAAATTTTCGGGGGTGGTTGTATAAATAAGTGATTAAAGTTAAGAGTATTTGAGAGTTAGTCATTATTTCATTATACAAAATAGCGATTGAAAAGTGATTAAGACTTTTATAGGACCGGTCCTGTCATCAATTATTCCGATTTACCCAACAGTTCAGCAGTATATTTATGAACAATTATTAATCGACTGAATATTTTTGTCCTGAAATAAACCCTTCTATTTGAGAATAATATAAGGCAATATATAGGCTGAGCCGCTGAGGTGCCCTTATAACTTATAGGCTTAAAGGCTTATAGATTATGCAAAGCAGAAATATCCCTTTATCTACTTATTTGGTATCTAATACCTTATATGGTGCACGGCCACGCGTAAGCCTGGCGCGAGTCGGAAGCGGCACAAACAATTTCAATCAAAGCGTTTTGTGTTGCGGCGTGTTTAGTGTTTACAAATTTCAATTTTCAAGTGCTTTTTAATAAGTGATTTGGGCCTGAGGGTTTATATTTTATTGATTTGTTCGGGGGATAATTGAATTGGTGTCGTGGTAGTTGAATTGGTGTCGTGGTAATTGAATTGGATCATTGGATTATCAAACAAACAGGTTGGTGTCATTATTGTTTATAGTGTTTTGTTCGATCCAAGAAAATAATAAAAATAGCGCAAGAAATATCTTATAAGGCCATACTGGTCGCGCGGGAATACCTGTAGTTTTAATAAATAATAAAGGTGATCTTGGATAAATTTCCTTATTCATAATTTCATATCCTTATTTAAATACTGTTGGCGGACAACGGCATCCATTGAAAGCTTACCGGCAACACTTGCTTCGCAAATTGCAATCCGTCCCATATCTTAGGAATCCTTTCATTTAATGTGTTACTTCTTAGTATTTCTTGATGCTAAGTGTTTTTTATGGTTATTTCGTATAAACTTATTGTGTGTAAACAAATAACACACCTGAAATTTATTGTATGAAATACGACATTTGGCAGTGACTTAGTATTATATCCTACCCTTTGTGCCATAAGCTAAACTGCTAAAACTGCTTGCCCTTATCTACAGCAGTGGTAAACTGTTGTTTCATACGTGTGTATAAGAAATTGTCCTTGGATATATTGGGACAAATAATGTCGAGTCACATATCAATGAGAGATATTTTCTGTTTAATTTATAATTCAATTTTTCCATAGTCTTCTCTGAGAGTGCATCAGGCCTGTAGTTTATGTGAAATTGGTGTAGTAATGGGTTTTCTCAAGATCCCCATTTTTGTACTATCCTTGCCCAGCAGGAATTAACCATTGAACAGTGGAAGGGTATTATAGGCATGCTTCCCCTGTATATTTTAGATACTGTGTAAGTATATGTAACATAATGGGAGTATGTTCTACAATAGAAACAACCATTTTGAATATTGTAGGACCTTGAATCTATGATATGGCTTATTGGCGTAGTTACAGAAAGTTCTCTGCTGAAGCAATTGCTCTTGCAGCGTCTGACAATGAAGACAATCCTGAATCTTTAAGTCATACAAATGATCTTTTGCAAAACAGTTGTAGTGATGAGTCATCAAATTATAGTGATACAGATAATCCTGAACTGATATATAGCTCTGAATCAAACTCTGATACCGATTTTTCAGAAAATGAGCATGAAGGAAATTTACCTCCTAATGATCCTTCACTCCCAAATACTAATGATCCATCACTCCCATCAGAAACATTGAGAGGGAAGCTTGCAACCTGGGCAACAAAAAACAAATGCCAACGTACTGCTGTAAATGAGCTACTTCAAATTCTTCGAGGGCAGGGACTTTGCCTTCCGAAAGACAGTCGCACCCTTTTGCAAACCCCTCGTGAAGTAATTACTTTATCTAAGTGTGGCGGGCAATATGTATACCTGGGGATTGAAGCTGGCATAACTGATATTCTTTCGAAAAATGCATCTTTAATAGAAAAGCACACCAATGTTGATTTGATGATCAATGTGGATGGGCTGCCATTGTTTAAATCTTCCACTTCCCAGTTCTGGCCTATTTTAGGTTATTTCAATAAGGTTGAAGTCTTTATTATTGCACTCTTTTATGGTAATTCTAAACCAAGTTCTGTGGATGATTATCTTGATGATTTAATCGAAGAGCTTGATAAGTTAAAAATTCATGGTGTAAATTTTGAAGGAAGGCAACTTGCCTTTAATCTGAGGTTTTTTGTTGTGATGCTCCTGCAAGGTGTTTTTTAAAAGGTATAGTTGGTCACACGGGCTACTTCTCTTGTGAGCGGTGTAAAATTAAGGGGTCATGGAATGGCAGAGTTGTGTTTAATGATGATGATGTTTTTGCACCAAGGACTGATGTTGAATTTTCGAATTTTAGTTATCATCACCACCAAAAAAGTGCTTCCTCCCTAGCTTCACATGGTGTTTCATGCATTAAGCAGTTTCCACTTGACTATATGCACCTTGTATGTTTAGGTGTTACTCGGGCTTGCTCACTTTCCTTAAAAATGGGCCAAAAATTTGCAAGCTGTCTTCCAGACATATACTGCAAATATCCGAGAGCTTGATGTTGTTACATGGAAACATGCCAAGTGAATTTGCAAGACAACCAAGGTCGTTGGTTGAACTTGATCGCTGGAAAGCTACTGAGTTTCGCCAGTTTCTTCTTTATACTGGGCCTGTTGTGTTAAGAGGCATTTTACCAGATAGACTATACCAGCACTTTCTTTCTCTGTCTATTGCTATTTCCATAATGCTTGACATGAATACTGCCAAGCGAACCTCGTATCTGCAGTATGCAAGAGAGTTAATAACTAATTTTGTGAGTAACTGCAAATCTCTGTATGGTGATACCTTTGTGGTGTACAATGTACACAACCTTCTGCATTTGCCTGATGATGTTGACTATTTCCATTCTTCATTAAATGAAATATCATGCTTTCCCTTCGAGAACTTTATGCAACAGTTGAAGCGACTTGTTCGAAGTCCCCAAAATCCTATTGCCCAGGTTGTTAAAAGACTAGCAGAACTGAAGCACTCTGTGCAAAAACACCAATGTGATTGGCGCTACACTCATATCTCTACCAAATTGAAGGATAGCTGTTTTATGCTGAAGGACAACACTTATGTTTTTGTTGTTGACTGCGGAGATCAGGGTGAAAGATTTGTCTGTGAGGTAGTATCAGAACGATCGACTCAGAGCTTCTTCCATATCCCAGCTGATTCGAAACTATTTAACATAGTGTATATTGATAACTCGTCACGAAAAGGAAAAAGACGCCTTGTTGAAAATGCGAAATTCTACAAAAAGCTGTTTGCCTTCCATACCGGTCAGGATTTGTCATTTTCCCAATGCATCACGAGGTTGAAAGATACCGATAGTCCTAACCCTACTCCAGGTAAATTAATGCAGTAGACGTGTAATTATAACATATCACGTGATTATGTAATTGCCATATAAGTGGATTCCCCAGCTTGGCCTTACTGCAAAATTTTTATTTTTGATGAAAAAGTACATTGCGTTTGACTTAATACTGTTATATCAAAAAACCTTAAGGTTTAGGATCCCACAGAACTATAATGTAAAGTAGGTGTTCATGTTGGTATAGCTTTATGATAAAAGACTCCCAATTTACGGGTCAAAACATTTCTTTTCTGTTAAAGCTTGTCATATACTGCACATGTACACAGAATAGTCTGTCTCTATAATCAAAAGTCAGTAGGTCGATATACTTTTTTTTTTTCTCTTTTAAGAATGTGGGTAAGAGCTGTTTGGCAGGAGGGAAAAAAGCAACACGAAGGCGTTGTTCCAGATGTGTGGATTCAGAACAACAATGTAAGATGGCCATCTGGATTGAATGTAATTAAACCTCATGCTGAAAGACAAACACCGTGTGCAGACTGGAAACCTTTCCACTTATTAAAATAAATGTACCGCAGGTCAGTAATTTTATTATTGATATAAACTATTTTCCTAAAATTTCCATTCCTAATGACGATAATGTGGATATTACTTCATGAAAAAAGAAACAAGTGGGCGGTATATAAATAACCAAACAAATAACGTTGCAGCAACAGAGTCATGCATATATGCATTTCAAGGCACGTATTTCCAGTTGTTCTCTATTTAATTTGTATTTTTGTAAACCAGATGAAAAACAAGTTTGTGAAAGGTACGATTTTACGACCACTGCCGAAGTAAGTGATGGTGATGAGGATCATGAAGTATGTAGGAAAGAGAATTTAATTCTAAGGAAAAAGAGTCGAAAAGGTTAGCAATTACAACATACATCTTTGTACAAAGTATTTTTGTATTTGGCGTACTTATTCTTTCTTGTATTTTGCAGGAAAACAAATCGTGTATTCGTCAGACAATAATTCTGATAGTGACGGTGGAAATGCTAACTGTATGTATCAGAGTCAAAATCTAATCCATCGAGTATACTTTGTCCTTAATTATTATATTCTATTTTTTTCGCTCTACAGTATGCGTAATAATGTAGTGTTGCACTTGTATGAAACTTTTACTAGTTTTAGTAACAATAATTTGCCGAAGGCGAGGTGATTATCGCTTTCAATAATCACCTTTGTACTTATACTAATGAGGCTTATTTACTTGTCAGCTATTTCAGATTTCCCACCTCCACCAAAGAAATTTATTTCAGCAACGAACGATTCGAGCATCCATTTCACGTCGATGATTCCAAGAACACCACTGTCAAGATCGAGAAGCCCTCTTCGAGAAAAACCGAATAGCAGTAACAGACCACGGAACAAACAACACAATGAGCTTGTCACAATGAACAAACGTAAGCTAATCATGGCATTTAACTTTTTGTAAAAAATAGATACTCTAGAGATCTTCATTTAATATACTACTGATTTTAGAACCAAATTTTCTTTTAAAATCTTATTTCTACTACTTTGTTTCTACTAATTTTAGACTTCTCTTCATCATCATCCAAACACATTCTGCATCGAACTGCAAAAGAAAGTCAAGACCCAGAATGCGTTCGAGATCGAAAACAAGATCAAGGACGAGGTCCAAACCTTCTCAGTCAGAGGAACAAAGTTTATCTGGAAAGAAAAAGACCCCAGAATACCTTAGATCCAACGATGGACCATTACTTTCGGGAGCTGCAGGTAAAGCAGTAATGATGTCATGATTGTATGCCGAGGCATTAAAACTTACTTCGTTTGCTCTTGGTATTTATTTACGTGACAATCAATATTTTCGTCTTAAAGTTTAGAGCACTATTCTTAAGCCTTATTCCCGGACAAAACGCCTCTTACGCAGCCTGCTAAAAAGCTTGTTTCCTGTGCTTTTCAGATATTCTGGCATCAATATTCCCTGATGCAACAAGAAGATCACGATCAAAAACCAAGTCTAGATCACGATCAAAAACAAGATCTAGATCGACTTCCCGATCAGAAAGAAATGACAGAACGAGATCACGATCGACGACAAGGTCAAGATCCAGAACGAGATCCAGATCAAGGTCCAGACCTTCTCTGTCAGCACCAGGGGTAAGAAGGGAAAGTTTCGCTGAAAATACTATCCCAGAAAAACAGCATGAGCGAAGTTTTGGTATTGAAAACACCGTTGCTAGGAGTAACAGTGGATTCCCCATATCAGAAGCAAGTAAGTACACATGCTGTAAAATATGATCACCCTAGTCCTCTTGCCAAGTTGCCAAACGTGTATAGCTATTCCATGGACTATAATCCCCATTTTTGGGCATTGAAGAGATTTAAATTAGAAACTGCTAGAACATGTCTTCACCTGTGAAAATCGTTTGAGTTTTGTTGCATTGTTGTTGAGTTTTGTTGCATTGTTTTTTCAACACAGAATTTCAAAGGAGAGTTTTGCAGCTATTAACCGAAATTCGTAACTCGGTTGCCCAAGTGGGAAAAAGATGTTCTCCTGCCAATTCTGCAGTTCATATCGATCAGGCAACGAGCTTGGAGGAACTGATCGCATTAGAAAGCAGCCTTGCTGATAAAGACACCAGAGATGTATTGGTAAGAATAATCTAAAACCTGTGTATGAACTGTTGACTGGTCAATGTAGTTAACTAAATATAAAACTGACAACAATGATGGAAGAGCTTATCAATAATTACGGAAAAATATCTTTGTCTTTGACAATCCTCCATTCTTGTGGTCGTTTATATAGTCCTAATATACTTCTCTTATTGAAGATTTGTATTAAATTTACTATGCCAGAACTCGACTTCTGCTTACTGTAAAAATGAGTCCAAAAATTAATACTATTTCTCTAATTAGTCATGCGTTTTAATAAATCGTTATCAATTCGACATGTTTAGTTTTTGGCTCTATGTACATGCCATGTTACACATGGTCTGCCTTAGCCATGACATGCCTGACCAATTGACCATTGTTTTTCAGTTATCACGAATCATTGATATCGGAGGACTGAACGTCAGAGAGAATGTCCGCAATGTAATGCACAGGTATTAACCATAGAAGTATGACTACCCAGAGTGTGCTACACTGCTAACTAGTATAATGTAGATTGAAAGTCTCTGTTCTCAACATTTTCAATATTTTTTAGATTGATGAATAATGAAGTTATGGCATCAATGAACATGAAGGGAAAGGGTTCGAAATATGCGTTTGGGTCTACCAAAGTATTTCAAGCTGTTGTAGGTATGTGAAACTGTTCTCTTTGTGGTGTATGTTTCTGCAATATATATACCGCATTCGTAAGAATTTTTCAAGTAAACGTTTGCTGTTTTGTTGTATCTACTTCATTTCATATTAATAATTAGTGATTACTGATTTGCTTGCTTATCAAAAGAAATTAACATGACATGAATTATTTTTATTATTTCTCTAAAGAAGAGTTTTGGATGATTTTGTGTTTGTTTTTTACTTGTTTTGCCCGCACGATCGCTACTTAAACATATCGCATAACTTCATGTTGCTTGCCAAATAATGAAACTTTATCGTTAATATTGTGCTACGTATTATTCTTAGAATGTGTGGTTAAAAATCAAAAAACGTCAGAAGCGGAGGTGAAGCAAGCTGTACAGCAACTGCTGAAATACGCGCCAGATAGGCAAGGAGGAGGTGGACGAAAAGACACCGCTTAAATTTTGAAAACAAAACACTTAAATAAAATTTACTTGGCGATAACAATTATTATATAGTTTTTTAAGTATTTATATGTCTGTTTTTTATTGTATATTGGATTATTTTGTAATACGCATTATTCTATTATATTAAAATGAAATAAAGTAGCAATTTTATTACCGAAATATGATGCTTTTTCTGCTGTCTTATGTTTCAAGGCTGGTTTCCACTCAGCCTGCAGAGCTATATGGACGCGTCGTAAATATTGACGGTGATTTTAACTTTGATAATTTTGGTAGTTTCAACGTTGAAATGACGTCTTTTTCCGACGTCGTTTTGCGACGTCGTTTCGACGTCGTAAAACGACGTTGATCCAATTTGCGTTTTCAACCTTATTTCGACGTCAGATCGACGTCGAGGATCGACGTTGAATCAATGTTGAATCGACGTAACTTTGCCCGCTGGGTAGTCTTCAAATTTTTTTACCTGAATGAAATGAACTGCTGTTGTAATATTCTGTTGTATGCTTTGTCAATCCCTTCTAAACACTCATACTGAATTTCAAGTCTAGCAAATCAATATTAAAGAATTTAACTTTCAAAATCTGACATCTCATATAAGGGAAAAATTGCTATTTTGGACAATTGGTTTCAAATTTTTTGACCTGATTGAAATGAACTGCTGGTCTAATATTCTGTTGTATCCTTTGCCAATTCTTTCTGAACATTCTTACTGAATTTCAAGTTCAGCAAATAAATATTAAAGAATTTAACTTTCAATGTCTGACATCTCATATAAGGGAAAAATTGCTATTTTGGACAATTGGTTTCAAATGTTTTGACCTGAATGAAGTGAACTGCTGGTCTGATATTCTGTTTTGTCCTTTGCCAATCTTTTCTGAACATTTTTACTTAATTTCAAGTTCAGCAAATCGAAATTAAAGAATTTAGCTGTCAATGTCTGACATCTCATATAAGGGAGAAATTTCTATTTTAGACAATTTGCTTCAAATTTTTTGACCTGAATGAAATGAACTGCTGGTCTAATATTCTGTTGTATCCTTTGCCAATCCCTTCTAAACATTCTTACTGAATTTCAAGTCTAGGAAATCAATATTAAAGAATTTAGCTTTTAAAATCTTTCACCTCATATTGGGCGATAAAGCCTATTTTAGACAATAGTCTTCAAATTTTTTTACCTGAATGAAATGAACTGCTGTTGTAATATTCTGTTGTATGCTTTGTCAATCCCTTTTGAACATTCTTACTGAATTTCAAGTCTAGGAAATCAATATTAAAGAATTTAGCTTTTAAAATCTTTCACCTCATATTGGGCGATAAAGGCTATTTTAGACAATAGTCTTCAAATTTTTTTACATGAATGAAATGAACTGCTGTTGTAATATTCTGTTGTATGCTTTGTCAATCTCTTTTGAACATTCTTACTGAATTTCAAGTCTAGGAAATCAATATTAGAGAATTTAGCTTTTAAAATCTTTCACCTCATATTGGGCGATAAAGGCTATTTTAGACAATAGTCTTCAAATTTTTTTACCTGAATGAAATGAACTGCTGTTGTAATATTCTGTTGTATGCTTTGTCAATCCCTTCTGAACACTCATACTGAATTTCAAGTCTAGCAAATCAATATTAAAGAATTTAACTTTCAAAATCTGACATCTCATATAAGGGAAAAATTGCTATTTTGGACAATTGGTTTCAAATTTTTTGACCTGATTGAAATGAACTGCTGGTCTAATATTCTGTTGTATCCTTTGCCAATTCCTTCTGAACATTCTTACTGAATTTCAAGTTCAGCAAATCAATATTAAAGAATTTAACTTTCAATGTCTTACATCTCATATAACTGAAAAATTGCTATTTTGGACAATTGGTTTCAAATTTTTTGACCTGATTGAAATGAACTGCTGGTCTAATATTCTGTTGTATCCTTTGCCAATTCTTTCTCAACATTCTTACTGAATTTCAAGTTCAGCAAATCGAAATTAAAGAATTTAGCTGTCAATGTCTGACATGTCATATAACGGAGAAATTGCTATTTTGGACAATTGGTTTCAAATGTTTTGACCTGAATGAAGTGAACTGCTGGTCTGATATTCTGTTTTGTCCTTTGCCAATCTTTTCTGAACATTCTTACTTAATTTCAAGTTCAGCAAATCAAAATTAAAGAATTTAGCTGTCAATGTCTGACATCTCATATATAAGAGAAATTTCTATTTTGGACAATTGGCTTCAAATTTTTTGACCTAAATGAAATGAACTGCTGGTCTAATATTCTGTTGTATCCTTTGCCAATTCCTTCTCAACATTCTTACTGAATTTCAAGTTCAGCAAATCGAAATTAAAGAATTTAGCTGTCAATGTCTGACATGTCATATAAGGGAGAAATTGCTATTTTGGACAATTGGTTTCAAATGTTTTGACCTGAATGAAGTGAACTGCTGGTCTGATATTCTGTTTTGTCCTTTGCCAATCTTTTCTGAACATTCTTACTGAATTTCAAGTTCAGCAAATCAAAATTAAAGAATTTAGCTGTCAATGTCTGACATCTCATATAAGGGAGAAATTGCCATTTTGGACAATTGGCTTCAAATTTTTTGACCTGAATGAAATGAACTGCTGGTCTAGTATTCTGTTGTATCCTTTGCCAATCCCTTCTAAACATTCTTACTGAATTTCAAGTCTAGGAAATCAATATTAAAGAATTTAGCTTTTAAAATCTTTCACCTCATATTGGACGATAAAGGCTATTTTAGACAATAGTCTTCAAATTTTTTTACCTGAATAAAATGAACTGCTGTTGTAATATTCTGTTGTATGCTTTGTCAATCCCTTCTGAACACTCATACTGAATTTCAAGTCTAGCAAATCAATATATTAAAGAATTTAACTTTCAAAATCTGACATCTCATATTAGGGAAAAATTGCTATTTTAGACAATTAGTTTCAAATTTTTTGACCTGAATAAAATGAACTGCTGGTCTAATATTCTGTTGTGTCCTTTGCCAATTCCTTCTGAACATTCTTACTGAATTTCAAGTTCAGCAAATCGAAATTAAAGAATTTAGCTGTCAATGTTTGACATCTCATATAAGGAAGAAATTGCTATTTTGGACAATTGGCTTCAAATTTTTTGACCTAAATGAAATGAACTGCTGGTCTAATATTCTGTTGTATCCTTTGCCAATCCCTTCTAAACATTCTTACTGAATTTCAAGTCTAGGAAATCAATATTAAAGAATTTAGCTTTTAAAATCTTTCACCTCATATTGGGCGATAAAGGCTATTTTAGACAATAGTCTTCAAATTTTTTTACCTGAATGAAATGAACTGCTGTTGTAATATTCTGTTGTATGCTTTTTCAATCCCTTTTGAACATTCTTACTGAATTTCAAGTCTAGGAAAGCAATATTAAAGAATTTAGCTTTCAAAATCTGACATCTCATATTAGGGAAAAATTGCTATTTTAGACAATTGGTTTCAAATTTTTTGACCTGAATGAAATGAACTTCTGGTCTAATATTCTGTTGTATGCTTTGTCAATCCCTTTTGAACATTCTTACTGAATTTCAAGTCTAGGAAATCAATATTAAAGAATTTAGCTTTTAAAATCTTTCACCTCATATTGGGCGATAAAGGCTATTTTAGACAATAGTCTTCAAATTTTTTTACATGAATGAAATGAACTGCTGTTGTAATATTCTGTTGTATGCTTTGTCAATCCCTTTTGAACATTCTTACTGAATTTCAAGTCTAGGAAATCAATATTAAATTATGAATTTAGCTTTTAAAATCTTTCACCTCATATTGGGCGATAAAGGCTATTTTTGGCAATAGTCTTCAAATTTTTTTACCTGAATGAAATGAACTGCTGTTGTAATATTCTGTTGTATGCTTTGTCAATTCCTTCTGAACACTCATACTGAATTTCAAGTCTAGCAAATCAATATTAAAGAATTTAACTTTCAATGTCTGACATCTCATATAAGTGAAAAATTGCTATTTTTGAAATTGGTTTCAAATTTTTTCACCTGATTGAAATGAACTGCTGGTCTAATATTCTGTTGTATCCTTTGCCAATTCCTTCTCAACATTCTTACTGAATTTCAAGTTCAGCAAATCGAAATTAAAGAATTTAGCTGTCAATGTCTGACATCTCATATAAGGGAGAAATTGCTATTTTGGACAATTTGCTTCAAATTTTTTGACCTGAATGAAATGAACTGCGGGTCTAATATTCTGTTGTATCCTTTGCCAATCCCTTCTAAACATTCTTACTGAATTTCAAGTCTAGGAAATCAATATTAAAGAATTTAGCTTTTAAAATCTTTCACCTCATATTGGGCAATAAAGGCTATTTTAGACAATAGTCTTCAAATTTTTTTACCTGAATGAAATGAACTGTGTTTGTAATATTCTGTTGTATGCTTTGTCAATCCCTTATGAACACTCATACTGAATTTCAAGTCTAGCAAATCAATATTATCATAATGATCATCATGGTTGCCATGGTAAATATAATTTTTTATGATTAATGTACTAATTATGATCAAAATCATCATAATGAGCATCATATTTGCCATGGCAACCATCATTTATTATGACTAATATGCTAATTATGATAAAAATAATCATAATGAGCATCATTGTTGCCATAGCAACCATCATTTATTATGATTAATATGCTAATTATGATCAAGATCATCATAATGATCATCATAGTTGCTATAGCAACCAAAATTTATTACGATTAATATGCTAATTATGATCAAGATCATCATAATGATCATCATAGCTGCCATGGCAACCATCATTTAGGATAATTATTATGCTAGTTATGATCAAAATCACCATAATGAGCATCATGGTTGCCATAGCAACCATTATTTGCGATGATTAATATGCTAATTATGATCAAGATAATCATAATGATCTTCATAGTTGCCATAACAAACATCATTTATTCATGATAAATGATGGTTGCTATGGCAACCATAATTTTCATTACGATGATCTCAATCATATTTAGCATATT